ATAAAGTCCATCTACAAATTAATTAGACTAAAAACCGACCAAACTTTTAAAACTTTTTAATCTTATTAGATTAGAAACAGCATAAAATATTCATAGCTGCTCAATGATTTTACTAAAAGGTTATTTAGACTTAAAACAGATCAAAAATAATTTTAATAGTAGATCAAATACCGATAAAAATGTTTTTTAAAGTTCAAATACAGATCAATAAGTTCAAATGCAGATCATTTAGCTTAAAATCAGTTTAAATTTTTCAACCCGGGTATCCCGAGGAATGTTATTTCGATGATTGTAATAAATAAAAATACTCGATGGATTAAATGCCTTTGGAGAGCGCAACAAGCTCTGGTAATTAGATTTAAACTACCTAAGTTGAGTCTCGATCACCGATTTTAAATATTATTTAGCTTTTAATTGTCACAGGCTCGATTATTTGTCCCGGTTATTTATCCGAGTTGTCTTAATTCATTTTTGCTTTAGCAGTTACCCCACCGGACGAATAAAATAAGCTTTTAATAATACTTTTCAAATAATAAACGACTTTCTGGTTATTTGGAGCTGCAAACACCCGCAATTGTGTTTTTAATTACCGGGGGTCATTTTTTTGTTCAACGCATCGCAGAAAAATAATCAGAGAACCACTTCTGGGCTTTAATTACCAAAAATACCCCAGGGATTTATCAAATTGCTGTTTTCCACTTACTTTCATTAAATTCATCAATAATTTATTAATCATACACGGAGAGAAAAATATGGAAATCATTCCTATAATTTTAATGAAATATTTTCCTATACCATTTTAGGAGCGATTACTTAAATTATGGGAATTATACCCATAATTTTTGGGAAACGTTACTATAATTATGGGAATGGTTTCTATAATTATAGGAACGATACCTATAATTATAACTGTAATATCGGCATGATTCCCATAATATATAGGAATGGTTCCCATAATATATAGGAATAGTTTCCATTATATTATAGGAACCATTCCTATAATATTATGGGAACCATTCCCATAATATTATAGGAATGATGCCAATAATATTGGAGTAATTTTTTTCACACAACTGTGGTATTTAATTAATTACTTTTCACTATAGATTTATTTTTTTTTTTGATTAAGTGATTCTTTTTTTATAATATATAAATTGATAAAAAAAGTTTTCAGTAATAATATTTATTATTATTATCATTATGAAATTAATCAGTTGCAGCAGTTGATATTTTTTTAATCTTGAACGGTATACATGCTTGTAAATTAAAATAAAATTAATTAAAAAAAAAATTTCTACTAGAAAAAAAAATTTCTTAAATAAAATAAAATTTCCAATTGTTTTGAAATTCCAAATTTTCAAATGTTTTCGCGGCTTAACGTATGTATTGTAAATAAATAATTTGCTTTAAAAATAAAATGAAATTGTGAAAATAAACAATAAATTTCCATATCTATTTTGCTCCT